CTGCTGCTGGTGTTGTTGCTGCTGGTGGTGGTGTTGCTGCTGCTAGTGTTGTTGCTAGTGTTGCTAGTGTTATGGTTTAGTATTATCATAATACAATACTTGCTTGCAGTTCAAGTGTTTAATGATGAGAATAGACCCTCCTGAAGAAGACAGTGATGTAGATTCCAATGGTAGAGACAGCCCTGCAGTAGAAGGYCCTCCACTACTTGATGCAGAAGGCAATGTGATAGCAAAGACTCCAATACCAATCAAACCTAAACCTAAGCCTAGAAAAACACCCGCTAAAGGCCGGAAAACACCACCAGTTGCTAAGCCTAAAAATAAACCAAARCCAAAGAAAAAACGGAAAAAGATATCCTTGAGTATAAACTGTTATGCTATTGAAACATAATTCTTATTGAAATGCAGTTAGGTCTATCTTTCCCTTCTTTCCTTTGCCTTTACGTCATTCTTTCTTTCGTTCCATTTTTCCAGTGCCTTATTAATATATAACATGGTAATTTTTCCCTCCTCCCTTCCAATTGCTGTTTATCATTTCTCTCCTACTGTTAGCCAGTTACCATATCATTGTGTTCCTTGACAATTGTTCACATAACAWTAGATGGCGATTCAGACGATGATGGTGATGATGTAGATCCAGACTTCAAGTAACAGAGACCTTCATAGATATGATTGCAGAAACTCGCCGGCGGATGCCTTTTATATTTAAACAACAGACTTGAAGTTTTTAACCAGCAGACTATTACCATCCAGTTTATTCCTTTTTTTCAGTTCCTGTTTGTAATATTGAGGTTTCAAACAAGTTGTAGGAATACATATATTGCATTTATTAGGAACCTCGCAGTGCTTATTGGTCATGGACTTGCAGCAAGTCAGTGATTCTACAGTACAATGGAGTAGAAATGGTTATTTGGGGTCCACCACTAATGTTAGAACAAAGCTTGTGATTGGTCAAGACTACAAAAACAAAGAATTATAGGATTATGTCAGACAATGCCCATTGTTCTACTGGACATCTTGGTTTTTTGTTTTGCCTGTCTCTCTTTATTATTATCTAATCAAATCACAATCTTTGTTCTAACAGTAGTGTACACCTGTAAATTGTAATTCATAAAGAAGTCATAAATAATGACATTTTTTGCCAGGGAAAATGTTGTACTAGCACTACAGCTGCAGTCATTATACAAACATTGATTCTGTAAAGAAGAAAACTTTGTTCCCCTATAAAAGATGACCAAATGATTTGGAAATAATTTTTACACTACAATATCTTATTTATTATACAATACTCATCATTGAAATCTTAATGTTCTTGCAGCCCTTTTCTCTTACTTTGTTTGCCTGACAGTYAGGATAGAAATGCTTTAGCTGGGATATCTTTAAATAGGATTGGAGAAAGGGAACATGAAGTCAAGAAAAGGAATTCTGCACACCATATTGCTTGTTCTTTCTCTTAATATTAGGGTTATTCATTACCTTAAAATAGTTTGCTAATGTGATCAAGAAAATTGTTACAAAATCCTGTTTTCTATAAGTTGTGTAATTCTTTCAAAGTTTATCACAGATATAAGTATGCACTCAAGTTAAGTTCAACTTGGTTCCTCTTAAAATGTCATTACGAAAATCTTTGTTGTAGATTCAGCAAGTTTTTCATTTTGCTCTCTTCAACAACTACATTCTCAGTATATAGATAATTTTCCATTAAATTAAATTGGAATGCAGAAAGCACTTGACGTATGGAATGTTGATAATGCCTTTTCTTGACTCATTTTCTTCTGAATTTGATTTTATCACTGTTCATTGGAGCCTAGTGTTTCTAATATAGAAGTAATTGTRTTTGCTATGCCTAACTATAAGGCAAACTACTAATGGACCTTGTTTGCTTCTATATTAGTAACTGCYGCTTCTGCATTAGTAACTTCTTTAAAGAACTTTCTTCAGAATGCATGCAATTTCATCCAAAGCAAAATCCCATTTAAGTTATAAACAAATGAAAAAAAAAATGATGRAATTGGGATGAAATTGCAATTTTCATGTGTACARTACCTACATCATTTAACAAGTTGATATTCCTTTCATTTTTATTGGRAAGCCTTTTGGCCCCATTCAAATTATAAATTTTTAACAGAGAATGTAAATACAATGGAAGCATTTGGATCTGCTGCCATTTTATCAAATATATTTGTTATTGATACACTGCTAAAGGTGGACTTATTCAATAAACATACTCCAGCCTGTTTGGCCAGAACTAATACTGGACTGTGAAATTCAATTTAGATTTAGAGGAATGTACTAAAAATATGACCCAAGTGTACACTTTCTAATGTTTTATGATAGCTCCTGGAAAAGGCACAAGAA